AATTTTAATATTTAAGAATCAATATATATCACTTTATTCAAAAATATAATTATTATTTTTATTTATAATGCAAATGATAAAAAAAAATAATTTTAGGATCTGTCATTTTTTTGCAAATATGAGTGTACTTAATTAAGTACATAGTTAATTATCATCAGGAGATCCACTGTAAAAGAAAATTAAAATGTACTTTTAGAAAATAATATAATAAACCCTGGACAATGAATAAAAAAAATTTCTAACCTTGTTAAAACTGTAGTATATGTTAAATGGATATGTCCAGCTCAACAATCTAAGCACATTCCTTGTGAAACTGTACAGCTACAACAGGTATAAGTACGTTTACTACAACCTTTGCATTGGTGTTAAACATATTTGCTTTTGAGTTTCGGGGTTGTGGGGTCACTATTAAGGTTGATAAGATGATGCTCAAAATTATCTGAGTCTTTTTTTCATCTTTTTTTAGCTCAATCGGTGATTGTTTGGTCGGAATAACACTCAAAGATCGATCTTGCTAGTTGCTTATGAAAATCAATGTGTTTCATGTCTTTTTTTTCCCAGTACAAACTGACAATATGTAGAGAAGCTATTTGCTTCCACAACTGAAAAGTAAAAGGCAAAAATACGATCTACAGAACGTTTTGAGACAAGAACATCATGATATGAAAAAGCATTATCACGTAAATTATTTAATATGTCTACAGCTGACCTGAATTCATTGTATTCATCAAATACAACAGGCCGACGGAATTTTACATCACCAGAACCCTTAATATACCGATTCATTTCTGTCCCAAGAGTAGTTGTAGAGCAACTGGAAAGCAGTACAATATCTTTTCAGTCACGAATTGAACATATGGCTAAATCAACATTATTTTTTTTGCAAGTTCGACTAACGGATGATCCATAAGTATCTTCAAGAGCACCGGTAATATCATGGGGAATATTTCTGGGCCAGTAACGACGCTTCTTTATTTGTAGAATAGAATAAAGACCATAATTATATAAAGAAATACATGCGTCAGTGCTACCAAACCATGAATCAGCGATAACTGTTCTACTGCTACAAAACTATGGTTCTACTAATCTTAACATAGATGCGACAGTTGCTGGGTATTGATCCAAAAATTTTTTTTTAATAGTACATTCCGAAGGTTCTGCTGGGTCTAGTCTTAAAAACAAATTAATTTGAGCATCTGCAAGGGCTTTGAATTCACATCCAATAGGATGTAGTTTCCTTGAAATTTTTCATTGGAACGGGCCTTTATCAACTTTGCCCATCCATTAGCACATTGATTCATCCATACAAAGGTAAGGACCAGGTAGAATAGCCTTTGTAAGATTTTCATTAAATGCGTCATGAAACTGCCGTGCAAAGTGAAAGGGATCATCATTTTCCTGTGCGTCCGTTAATTTCAAATATTTTATAATATTTCGAAATCGTTGATGCGCTGTTACAGAATGAAAATATGACGATAAAATAATATTAAAAACACCTGCAATAATAATGACCCTTAAAATGATAT